AAATTGCATGATCTTATAGCTAGTTAAATCCGCTAGATTGTATCATCTTCATTCTGTGTGTTTGTTTAGGTTGGTGACGGCACCACCTCGGTGACTCTGCTTGCTGCTGAGTTTCTGAAGCAGTTAAAGCCATATGTAGAGGAGGGGCTTCACCCCCAGACCATCATCAGAGCATTCCGCATCGCCACACAGCTCGCTGTCAAAAAGATCAAAGAAATCGCTGTTACCATCAAGAAGGATGACAAGCAGTGAGTCTAATCACTGTCTGCTATTATATATCATAGTAATGTATAATTAGCATATAAATGTCACGGAGGTGATCATTTGTCCTCTGTTGCTACCACAGAGAACAGAGGAGGTTGTTGGAGAAGTGTGCTGCTACGGCTCTGAACTCCAAGCTGATTGCAGGACAGAAGGAGTTCTTCTCCAAGATGGTGGTAGATGCGGTGATGATGCTGGATGATCTACTTCCTCTGAAGATGATTGGAGTGAAGAAGGTGCAGGGTGGAGCTCTGGAGGTGAGGGAGCAGTGTTCTAGATTCCAAAGAATTCTTATATTTTAGGATTTATTTATTAACATTTTTGTTCACACCGCTCACAAATCTTTTGGACTGACTGTCACTGTCATTTTTCAAGTATTGAAATCTGTATGTTCAGACAGTGTAGTCAATATCTAGTGTATATTTTTTGGTTGCTGTAGTAATTCACGATAAAGATTCACGATACTGATTTCACAATACAATTTTCTCACAATTTTTCTTTTTAAAAAAATGAGATTTAAGACAAATTATAAATGAAAAGGTGTCCTTTTATTATTTCAATGCTGCACATTTCTTTGACATTAAAATCAGCATGATTAAAAACTTAATTGATCGCTTTTTTTCTTAAAATAACAAGTCGAGAGTAGGGGTGCAACGGATTACAAAACCCACGGCTCGGATCATATTGCATTATCATATCAGATTTTGAATAACAGATCGGGTCATTTTGCAGATGAGCAAAAAAAAATATGGTTCTTTATTATTTAAATAACAGAATACTTTTTTGATACCACAGCAAAACCGAGTAGCATATAGGGATGTAACGATTCACTCAACTCACGATGCGATTCACGATACTGATTTCACAATACAATTTTCTCACAATTTTTCTTTTTAAAAAAATGAGATTTAAGACAAATTATAAATGAAAAGGTGTCCTTTTATTATTTCAATGCTGCACATTTCTTTGACATTAAAATATGTAAAATAATAAAACTAACTTAAAATTTTAAAACAAATCCCAAATCAAATAATTAAATAATACAAATAAAATAAATCTCTTCATATAAACAATCTAAGGCTTTGGCTGTGCTTTTTCCATTTTAAATGAGAGGCAACCACTGCATTTTAATCACGATCCAAACAAAGAGGCTAAATATGTTATTTATATTGCAATTAGATTGTATAAATTCGAAATTTGAAGCAAAAACAGAATGGTCTGATTTTAGCTTTGTGTGAAAGAGGAATCGATTCTGTGTACGCGCATTGTCTGAAACGCGGCTCTCTGTGCGTGCTTTGAATGAGTGCGCGCAGCTCCGAATACACGTGAGCTCCGAATGCGTGTGAATGGTTTAAAACACCTGAATGTTTAAATGGGCAAGACTTGCAAACGACATGTACAAACGATTAACTATGATCCGTTTTACCCCTACAAGCTAGTGAACAACGCAAATCAAAGAAGGAATTTTATATAACTGTTCAAGATAGCCCGTCGGGCAGGGTGGTGAAACATTTTGGTAGCCCGACTGTAAAACACAATAGCCCCGGGACGTCGGGCTAGCGATTTTGCGAGCCCTGGGTCAGCACGACTTAAAGCTGGAATATACCTCACGTCTTTTAAAATAGATTTTGAAACATTACGTGTCACACATTTGCCTACTTTGTAAATGGAGAAAAACTGGGCAATTTATTTCAAACAAACTCACGCTAAATACAGCTTGTTTCTAGGAGATGTATGAAAATAAATTTGTTAAAAACTGGCTATGACTTAATATCCTCTGACTGGATGGAATCTTAGTCTGAAGCTAGAAAATCTGAATCAGCCCATCATACATGTTTTTCTACGAAATGTCAAATCATACTACTGAAAATATGCAGACTGGTTCTGACTTTCTCCAGACTGCAAAGCAGGTCAAAAGCCTTTACTCATGCAGCAACTGAGAGTAGTTGTTAGTGTGATGAATGAAAACTGGAATATTTATTTATTTTCAGACTACGAAACTACATATTTTAGTTGGATATGACAAAAACAGATATATGCCGCCAGTCTGAACAAAGCCCTTTACATTCAGGATCATTATTGTGGAATAGCTGAACAGCCATATTCACAGATATGCAGAATGGGGGGAAAAAGGTCTGTCTATTGAAATGCAGCAAAAGACTCAGATGTAGATTTTAACCTTGCGGTCCTTTGTTTTTGTTTCTGTCTATCAGGACTCTCAGCTTGTAGCTGGTGTGGCATTCAAGAAGACCTTCTCCTATGCTGGCTTTGAGATGCAGCCCAAGCGCTATGTGAACCCAAAAATCGCACTGCTCAACATTGAGCTGGAGTTGAAGGCAGAGAAGGACAATGCAGAAGTCCGTGTCAACTCGGTGGAGGTCAGTACTGCTCTTAACCATCACAGGTTGTCTCTTTGATTGTTGAGGCCTAATGATAAAAGGACTGGGCCCATAAGCGAGTCAGAAAACTGACTCGAAAATTATGGTGTAGTTGTCATTTTAAATTGGGCATTATTTCGGCAGAAGTGAAGGCCCGTTAGTATTATCTGCTTTCTGTAGCTTCTACAAGGTATTTTATTGCAGTGACACTAACTAATCCCAAAGTCTGCAAATTGATATTAGAATCTCATGTCTGTAATCCATCATGGCTCATATAAACAAACTCAATAATTTTTCTACATGTTTATGTGGCTGCTGTTTGCAGGACTATCAGGCCATCGTTGATGCTGAATGGAACATCCTATACGATAAGCTGGAGAAGATCTACAAATCCGGTGCTAAAGTGGTGCTGTCAAAGCTGCCCATTGGAGATGTGGCCACACAATACTTCGCAGACAGAGATCTGTTCTGTGCAGGCCGTGTTGTGGAGGAAGATCTTAAGAGAACTATGATGGTATGGTGGTATCCTGTGTATATCCTGTCAGTTTGCTTTGGCTGTGTATCAGTACTTTGATGATTCAATTCCAGTCTGTTTTTATATTGGAGTATAGTCCAGTTTTCTTTTAGTGTTGAAAGCTGTCGTGAGTAAATTAATGCCAGATGTCTTTTCCCTTATGCACATGTAATAATGTTTTGGTCGTGGTAATGATGTGTTGTTGACCATATAGCAGTTAAAGCAGTTGTGATGTCTCCTCCAGGCCTGTGGTGGCTCTATTCAGACCAGTGTCGGTGCCCTGACTGATGATGTGCTTGGACTGTGTGAGCTCTTTGAAGAAGTGCAGGTTGGAGGAGAAAGGTATGTTTTTTTTTTTTCTTATGTAAATACAGAATGTAATTGTCCATGAAACTGGAGATTTTAATAAGTGATTTCATGTAAACATTTTCCATACATGCGAAGTAACTATGTGTGTATTGCATTGCAGATACAACTTCTTCAAAGGCTGCCCGAAGGCCAAGACCTGCACCATAATCCTGAGGGGTGGTGCGGAGCAGTTCATGGAGGAAACAGACCGCTCACTGCACGATGCCATCATGATTGTGCGCAGAGCAATCAAGGTGGGGAAAGCTTCATCTCTTGCTACAAATGATTACAACAGCAGATTTATGTTATCCTTGATTTCCTTTCGTCAGTATTTCTGAGGTACAGTGAGCCGAATGACAGGAAAGTAGTACTATAGTCCTAATTTCAGAATGTTTTAAGAACTGTCAGCAGGGGGAGACAAATTTACAAACATAGATGTTACTGAACATTCTCATATTTCCCAATACAGAATGACTCTATTGTTGCTGGAGGTGGCGCTATAGAGATGGAGTTGTCGAAGTATCTGAGGGATTACTCTAGAACAATTCCAGGGAAGCAGCAGCTGCTGATCGGAGCCTATGCCAAAGCCCTGGAGATTATTCCCAGACAGCTGTGTGACAACGCAGGCTTTGATGCTACCAATATCCTAAACAAACTGAGGGCCAAGCATGCACAGGTACATACACAAGTCAAGGCTATTTTTTATTTTTATTAAATCATCTCAATTAAATGTCAGTGTTATAATTAATCCATTTGCATAATCTCCATTTTCCTTAGGGTGGTATATGGTATGGAGTGGACGTGAATAATGAAGATATATCCGATAACTTCCAGGGATGTGTATGGGAGCCCTCTGTTGTGCGGATCAATGCCCTGACCGCTGCTTCTGAAGCTGCATGTCTCATCCTCTCAGTGGATGAGACCATCAAGAACCCTCGCTCTACTGCTGACGGCCCAGCGGCACCTGCTGGCAGAGGAAGAGGTCGTGGTAGACCCCCACACGCCCACTAATCTACACCCATCCCCACTAGTGTCTTGGGCAGAGCCTCTGGACTCAAAGTCAAAACAAATGCTGGCCACTTATTGGGCCTTGATTTGTTTTTTTGACCCATTTGTGTTACTCTCTGATCCCACTAAATCGAAGCATTTCTTTGTGTTTACAAAGGCTAAAGCAGAATAAAATGTCATTTTTGCTAATTGTTCCAGATTGATGGGGATTGAATCATCTGTTGGATAGTTGGAGATGTGAATGTTGTTTTGTGAAAGTCTGATAGAACACAAACCATACAGACACTCAAATAAAGAGTGATCAGTTTGTAGATCTGTATAAGCACTGATATGCAGGCACTCTGCTGAGATACGTTCCTGAATTGGTCATTCGGTGGAACTATTTATTGGACCATTAAAATCAGTACTTTTGCTTCTCAACATTTCTGTGTGATTTTATTCTTTTTTTTGTGACTTAACCTTTCAGTCATGAGTGGTAAGAGACTGTATACATTAGGCATTAGAATTTAAATGTTTTACATTATAGCATTTAAAGAAATATATTTTATTTTGAGGCATTGTGATTTAGTATACAAACAGTTTCATAGTATGTATTAAACTAAAATCTGACTTTTAGGACTATATGCCAACAGTGTGATGTGATTTAACCCCTAGCTTGATTCCCTTATGTCAGACTAATGTCCAGCATATTTAATAGTAATATTACCAACATCCTTGAAGCAGGTTTCTTATAAACATAACAACTGTTTTCTTTGCTCCTGTATAGATAAAAAGTCAACAATATTGCTTATACAAGACCGATGAAAGACTAATAGTTCAAAACATAAATGTTATAATAACTGCAAGTTTAGACCTGGTATAATTTTAAAGTCTTGAGAGGTAGTGTTTCATAAGCTTTAGCTATTTTAATTGTGCCTACATATAAAAAAGAACAAACCTAAATGCCTCAATCAGATTCTTTGAGGAGCAAATAAGTAAAACCAATTGTAACCAGGCAAAAGAAAAAAGGTTTGTATGATGTAAATACCTGTTTTGTACCTATGTAGGAAATCAGAAAATTTGAACTTTATTTCTCTTGTTAACCATCCTCTTAACGTCATTCTGATTAATCACTTCCTCTTTCTACCTCCAGGTGGCGCAACCGTAATTTAAAACTAAAGATGTCTTGATTTTGTCTTTGAAGTTTTTAATTGATTCATGTATAGTTATAGAGAATGTTTAAAAAAAATTAAACTTAAGTGGCTTTAATTGATAAATCAATTTAAATACTAAGTGTCTGCAAACTTAGAAGGAATATAATATCTACTTACTGCAAATGTGTGGATCACCACAAGGAGTAACTGAACTGAAACTAGTTCTTCTGTGTTAATAAACTAATAGGAAATGCATTTACAGACCTTATGGCAAATATTTAAGATTATTTGATAATGTAAATAAAATTCCCGTCCGAAGATCTGGTTAATTTTTTGCCTCATTTCTTATAATTTAGAATCTTTCTTATCCAAAGCTTACAGTACACTTAGTACAGGAGACAGTCCTCAGAGCTGGTGCTTTGCACAATAAAAGGGAATCCCAGTAACGCTCCAGGTTATCGTTCAGCCTTCCAGCTTTTATATCAGCAATCCTTGTATATCCAGATCTTCAACCTCAAAGCTATTATTTAAGCCATTAATTGATGAGATTAACTGTTGTTAAATGTCCATCACATTCGCATTCCAGTTCTCTCCAGAAACAGCACAATAGGATCAGTTGGACAGGAAGTCAATTGATGCCCGCACCAGTCGGCCGGTTGCCACATCAACAGCTGTGACTTTGATCTCTGTGTCTCCAAACTGCATCGTCGTGCGAATCTCCCTGCGTTCAAATGCTGGTCCTTTATCGTTATCACCAGCGCTAGCTGCCACTGCCCCTGACTCAAGCAGGTCTAGCGTGATGGCACCACACTTCCTCACCCCGGGGTCGGTAATGTAGGTTATGTCATCAGTGTCGCTGCAGTAGATGTTGATGATGATCTTCCTTTGTCCCATTCTCGCTGGAGTGTAGCTCCGCCTCACCACCTCTCCCAAGGCCACCGATTGATCAACGTTTACAAAGCGGTCCAGGATGTCAGTGCACCATTCTCGGCCATCTTTGATGAGAAGCTTATCACGAGGGTGTTGGCCTTCCACAAAGCGGTTCAAAACCCCAACACCGTAAGTTAATGGGCAACGGCGTACACGGACAACAGTGGGGTCTAGACCAAACAGGACTGCACCCTTCAGGATGGTTAGACCTACGTCATGTGGAATTATAATACGGCAGTTCCTCCCTAGTGCATTCTGTGCCGCACGCTGAAGCATGGGTGACTCTGCAAATCCTCCAACCAAGAAGAGAAAACGCACATCCTTTACTTCCTCCTTCTGCATCAGGTTCTCTGTTAGAGTGAGAGGAATCGATAAGACTTTAGAGAATTTACCACCGTGTTTGTTTGAGAGACAATGTTGTCTTACCAACATGTTTTATGATGTTGTTGATGGTCGGCTGGAAAAGCTCATTCATGGCTTCCGCAGACAGCCTCAGCATCCCTTGAGATGACCACTTTATAAAATTCATACTGACAAAAACATTACACATTGTTAGAGACATACTCACACTTTCAAAGACATAATTTAGCAAATAAAGCCCTCTGTGAGTCAGACGTACTTGCTCTTGCGCAGGGCAGTCTCCACACTCTGCCCCCGGTGTCGCTTGTAGAAGTCAATGAAGGAAAAGGGCAGCGAGATGTTTAGTGAGTTGGCCCGGCCAGGAGCTGCTGTGCGCTTTCGGGCTTCAAATGCAATAGTAAGGTCTACCCAAGCTGCTGGACGTTTAGCTTTAAAACTCTCAATGAAGTCAGCTCCAAAGATCTGACACAACATGGCCTCGAAGGCAAGATCCACACCAACTGCTCCATAAGGACCCCCTGAAATTTAAACATGTATATGTACCATTTATGTTAGGGCTACGTGCCACTAGATTTGCATGCTCACCTCAGTTTGCTTCAGGTCCTAAACTAAATCCTTTGGAATAACTGTGACCAATCAGGACAGCCTTCACCCTCTGGAGTGAAATAACAGGGCGTGGCTAAATTCAGTACTGAAGACTGACCAGTTTTGATTCCATTCCATCTATGGGAATCATGATTTTGCCTATTAGTATATGCTACTGGATCAACAGGTCTTGAAAAAACAATTCTTAACCCTGACACTAACTCTAACCATGAACTATCCCTAAAATCAAATGGAAGTGATAGACTGATAAGAATATTGTTTGAACCACCAGAGCGCAAAGCCTAACGTTTTCCCTAAACAAGAGGTGTCCTCTCCTGATCCTGGAGGGCCACTTTTTTGTAGAGATTAGCTACAACACACCATCTTGGAAGTTTCTAGTGATCCTGAAAACCTCGACTGGCTGGTCCAGGTGTGTTTAATTAGGGCTGGAGCCAAACTCTGCTAGAAGGTGACCCTCCTGGATCAGGACTGAACAACCCTGCCCTAAACCTGTAGAATCTGATAGGCTGGTGGTACGTTTGTTGTCCCAAACTTGATGTATACTTGTGGACTTGAGATGGTCATGGTGTGGGCATGTCTGTGAAGTCCACAAGACTGTAGGGACCCCCCACTTAAGATCTTAGGTTTCAGATGGGTGTTTACATGCACCCTTGGTGTGTCTTTTTGCCAATCCCACACAAACACATCATACCAAACACTACCTGGCGGTCTATGTGGCATTATGTCACCAAATTGGGTGCTTGGTGGAGGACAGGATTTGAGAAATATGTCCTACTTGGCAAAATCATGTATTGAATTGAACTTGGTCATTCATAACTGTTTACTTCAGTCGTGCATCATTTCACTCTAGTCCTGAAGATCTGTGAAGTGAAAGTCTTTCTTATTGGCAGGGAGGTAGTTGTATGAGTGTGAAGGAGTTAGATTTGGTTCTCAACTGACCTGAGACTTTGTAAAGCTCCTTCAGAGTGCCCTGTGGCTGCTCAATCTGATGCACCGTCAGATCCACTGTCCCACCACCACAGTCTGCCACAATGTACCGGTCACCTTTGAGAATACACACAGTTAACCATAGTCAGTCATCTGTTTCCTGCTTAGTAACTGTTACCAGATCTTTTAAAACAACAAGACTTGTTTAAATAACAACCTTGTTCTTCTCTCTCTCTGACCTGCTGCAGTCAGGAAGATCTTCTCCCAAACAGCCTTCAGACATTTATGATACAGTCTGAGATAAGAGTGGCTTAGCTTGGCTCCTGCCAACTGACTTTACTCAACTACACAGGAGTAGAGAGAGGAAAGTGTGTTTCTTGTTTGTTTACAGTGGTGTAATAACTCAGTTTCACGGGAAATGGCCTCCTCTTTGTGTGTCGGTACACATGTGTGCACCATTAAGAAATGCAAGAGACTATGAGAAAGCAAAGGAGATCTGTATTTTCAGTATTGTGAGTTAGATTGTAATAAATTCTCCCTCTCGATCCCTCTCTCTCCAGGAAACATCTGGAGCTAAAGATCTGATTATTTTGACCCTGCACCTTGTCATTGTGCCAGTCATGCAGAGAGCACTGCACGCACACACACTGCAGCCATGCGCTCAGACTGTGCAGCCAGTAATAACATACCGATGATTGTTCCATAATGAGGGTCCCTTACACATATGAAAAGCAATTTGAGTCATATAAACAATATTATATGCACATAAGGAACAAGAAAGTGTGATGGGGGAAAGCTTATTTCAAGATAAAAGGATTTCGTCTAAAGTGAAATATAAACAGTACTCTGGAAATTATTATTTTGGAAAGTATTGTTTTGATTTTTTCAGTTTTGTTTGCCTGTTTGAAATCTTGACAATATCACAAATAAAAAAAGATATTCATGTGTCTTTATTAAAGCATCTTCATGTTTAATTTGTCACAGTATCGGCACTCTATATGGCCTACAGGCATCAAGATGTCTGTTTCAAACATACTATATCTGAGAACAAAATTACTATCCATAGAATTCAGCTGACTATATATACATAATAGAAGTCTATTGTATGTTTGATAGCTAGATGAGTGTGTATCTCCATCTCTTACCTGTCTGCATCTCAGACCACAATTCTCCAGTACCACTCTCCACCAGAAAAGTTCGGCTATGCCTGGCTCTGCGGAGCTGCTCGCGGGCTGAAAGACAGATTGGCCTCCTTTATTCTGTGAATCACTCACACATGGGCAGCTTTAATCAAAACCTTATGACATTAGAGCCAATAAACTCAAAGAGTGAGAGAGAGACCGAAAGAGAAGGGGAGAGATTGCAGTTACCTGGATCAGTAATAAAGCAGTCTGCTAAACAGACCCTGATTTAATGAACCTAAAGCCTTTGTTTATAAAACACGATCTTTGAGATGTGAGCAGAATTTACTTTTAGTATTGCTCTTATACCTAATAAAACAGGCTTGTTTCATGGTTGTAGTTTTATAGCAGGTGCTTTTAGTGAATAATGACCTGCTAAACTAAGAATGATCTCTGCTTCACTTTTGGGGTTACTAAGGCTATACTGGTTGCTATTTTTCCTGAAGAACTCTTTTTATGGACTGCATTACTTCTAACATTTCCTTTCAGGTACAGTCTGTGAACACTGGAGGACATGCTGCCTTACATTCCCACAGCTTGCACCAAACACACAGAGAATAGAAAACTTAACCACACTTTTGGGACATGGAACCCATTACAATATGAAAAAGCTTTTGAAACAAGACAAAGATGAAGAGAAGGAAAAAGTAAAAGCAAACCAATTTGAACTTTAATTACTCTAAAACCCATGTGATTTGATACAACAGAGACAGATAAATAACGTGTCCAATGTCTTAATATAGATGAGAGGACAGACGATTATAGACTCAATTGTGGGCACTTTTGTATCATTATAGTTTTAAGATAAGTAAATACAACTTTTTTTAATAAAGGAAGTTTCTGTATGTGTCAAGTAAATCAACACGATCAAGACATAAAAAGCAGCAAAGAAAAGGCATGGTAAAAAAAAAAATCCAAAAATGTTTTTCACCTTCATATATAAAAAAAAAAACCCAAAAAACCCCTGAAGCCAGTTAAGTGTAAAGAAAAGAAAAGCAAAGAAAAGAAAAGCAAAGAAAAGAAAAGAAAAGAAAAGAAAAGAAAAGAAAAAAGAAAAGAAAAGTGACTCCAAATCCCTTGGGAGCTAAAGGTCCCGAAGCTGGAGTGTGTGTTGTGTCCCTTGATTTCCTGTGCCAGTAAATGTTGTCCAATTGTAAAACATGTTTTGAAGACAAAATTTTGGAACATATTCTCAAATACTTCAGAATAAGCAAGCAAGCAAAAATGCAAGAAAGAATAAAAGAAACCATCCAGTGAAACTAGTGTAAGCAGTCAAGAGGAGGGTGAGCTCATGGTCTGCAGCACCTTGTTCCTATTATGATGTGAAATGTGTGTGTGTGTGTGTGTGCGCGTGTGTGTGTGTGTGTGTGTGTGTGT